AAAAAAGCAAGTAAAAAGAATAATTTATTGTTCTAATTTTACAAAACACAATTTAAATTATAAATTTAAACAGAGCGTAACTTTCATTATTAAATTTATTCTAAATATCTCAATAATTTTATTAACCATACCAGATAGTAATATTCTTTGCTTTATTTATTTATTAGAATATCAAGCACTTTAATATTAATAATAGCCTGTAAACTTTTATATTTATTTCTTAAAATATTAAACACATTTTACTTTATTATATCAATAAGCGGGTAATTTTATCATCTTATAGTAGACCTACTTCTAATTTTTTACATCCTTAATAGCAAGTTATTTTTCTAAAATTTTTATAATTATATGATTTTTAATCAACTTTTAAATTTAAAATAGATAGTAATTAATATTTTACAATGATATTTTATGAGAAAATAAATGCTGAATTAACTTTCATATTCAAAATAGACTGTAATTAATTAATATTTTAGAATGATTTTTGATGAGAAAATAAATGCTGAATTAACTTTCATATTCAAAATAGGGAGTAATTAATTAATATTTTACAATGATATTTTATGAGAAAATAAATGCTGAATTAACTTTCATATTCAAAATAGGGAGTAATTAATATTTTAGAATGATTTTTGATGAGAAAATAAATGCTGAATTAACTTTCATATTCAAAATAGCTAGTAATTAATATTTTAGAATGATTTTTGATGAGAAAATAAATGCTGAATTAACTTTCATATTCAAAATAGCTTGTAATTAATTAATATTTTAGAATGATTTTTGATGAGAAAATAAATGCTGAATTAACTTTCATATTCAAAATAGCTTGTAATTAAAATTTTAGAATGTTTTTTAATATGAAAATAAAATGTGAATATAAAATAGTGAGTAAAATTGAATAAGAGTTCATAACATAAATTTGAGAATAAAATATACTTTTGAAAAACAGATGGTAATTATTAGTAGAAGATAAATAAGATAGATGGAAAATAAATTTACTTTTGAATATACAGCGAGTAATATTTTAAAAGAATAATTTTGATAGATAATCTTATTAAAATATATAAAATAGATAGTAATATTTTTGAAAAATAGTAATGTAGAAGTAAGAATTAATTAATTAATTACTAATACTATGAAAACAGTGAGTAAGAGTTATGAAAATAATTGAAAA